TTGATGTAAGCATGCAATTATCGTGTTTTGTAATGAGACAACCGCATTCTTGAAGTACGTAAGTTTTTACCTCCATATGAAGTAGTTTTACGAGACTGTACCGAATAAACAATGGTCCAATCACTTTGTTTCTTAAAATGTCTGCCCATAAAACGGGTGTTTTTTTTCGAGGTATAGAACTTTAAGTTGGCATTACTTTTGAAGATGGCGACCGATTTGACAGCTGTCAAGTAATCGGTATAGAACCATGATTACACATGATTTTTCATTCCTGAATTGAACAATCATGATGTCCGGGAGCTGTGGTTCCAACAAGACGGATTTATATGTCACTTAGTATATTTCCCAACATATCCAAATAATTGTTTTCATTCAAATTTGAGTTTTCTCCATTGATGTAAGCATGCAATTATCGTGTTTTGTAATGAGACAACCGCATTCTTGAAGTACGTAAGTTTTTACCTCCATATGAAGTAGTTTTACTGAGGATCATTACGAGACTGTACCGAATAAACAATGGTCCAATCACTTTGTTTCTTAAAATGCCTGCCCATAAAACGGGTGTTTTTTTTCGAGGTATAGAACTTTAAGTTGGCATTACTTTTTAAAATGGCGACCGATTTGACAGCTGTCAAGTAATCGGTATAGAACCTTGATTACACATGATTTTTCATTCCTGAATTGAACAATCATGATGTCCGGGAGCTGTGGTTCCAACAAGACGGATTTATATGTCACTTAGTATATACTGACTGCTACACAACGAACACAATAAAGAAACCGTCCTACCTGAAGCCCGAACAAAACGTTCTCCATGTACGCGGAGAAAGGTAAACAAAGAACACGGCCGGCTATCCGCTGAAAGTTTTGAATTAAAAATTAGCGGCTGGCCGGCATTTATCTGCCGGAGCTTGGAGAAGCAGTGTGTCTCGCTGGAGCAATTTAACGCCGTTAGAATAGCAAACAACAGAGCAGCTGGGGCCCCGGGACGGTTGCTCAACATCTGCTTTATTGCAGCAGGGCTCTACGAAATAATAAACTACACTGGGGCTGCTGCGGCTTTAGATGAAGTTATACGAGAGTGGCTTTCGAGTTTTACGCCCCAAATGAGATATACTTAAGTATAGAGAGCTAATGGTTATTTATGTGTCTAGGCGTGAAGGAGCAGAGCTACTAGGCTTCTGTCACGGTAAAGAGCACAAGTCTTATATCAGGGCTGCTTAACGTAAACGTTAGGGGGGGAGGGGTCAAAACAAGTCCATGGTCCAAAATTCAATAGATTTTTGTCTAACGTTTTTAAATTGGTTAATTAACAAATAACTGGGATTAGGTTTTTCTAAGTTCAGCCAAAATTTGTAGTCAGTAAGTAAGTTTCATTAAATTAAATATTTAAAACACACATGACAACAGCGCGTCGGTTATTCATCACCCTTATCGAACCGGCAATCGATCGCAAATGGTAACAGTGGTTAGTTATTGTTTGCGTACGTGGTCGTGTTTATTTACAATGTTATCGGATCAAGAGTTCGCCGACATGTTGTTAGTTTACGGTGAAGCTCGTCAGAATTCAAATCTTGCAGCTCAAATTTATCGCGACAGATTACCAACGGGTACAACCAGACAGAAGGACATTTGTGCAAGTGTACCAAAGACTTCGAGATACAGGAGGTGTTCGGTCCACTAATATTCGCACTCGTGAAAGACACGTTACTGTAGAGCAGGAGGAACAAATTTCAAATATCGTGGAAATCAATGCAGATATCAGCACTCGGGAATTAGGCCGCCGCGTATGACTATCGCATATCATAGTCCATAGAATCCTACGGGCAAATTTGATTTATCCCTACCATGTACAATGAGTGCAGTCCTTGTTACCAGAAGACTATCCTCGTAGACTAACATCTTGTCAGTGGTTTTTGCACAAAAACTTTGAAAATCCGGATATTAAATTTCCATAATACTCACACGTGGGCCCAAGAAAATCCTCATACCATTCTTGAAAGTCATTTCCATCAAGGTTTTAAAATAAACGTTTGGACGGGTATTCTTGACGTTCAGGTAATTGGCCCTTTCGAGTTACCCCCAAAGTTGTCAGGAAAAGGATACCTTAGCTTTCTAGCCAATAACTTACCAGAACTTTCGGAACAGACCTTAGACAACATACCATTACAACGGAGACAGAATTTGTGCTTTCTTCATGACGGAGCACCGTCACACATTTTTAGAGGCGTCATTCTGTATTTGAATGAACATTATCCAAATCGCTGGATCGGTCGAAATGCTCCTGATCCTCGAAAATGGCCAGCAAGATCTCCTAACCTCAATCCGATGGACTTCTGGTATTGGGGAGAACTTAAAGGGATGGTTTATGGGGCTTCGAGGACCTAGAG